CCATCCTAACTATAATGCTATGTCCCATTCTAACTATAGTGCTACATCTTATTTTAACTATCATGCTATATCCCATTCTAACTATTGTGCTATGTCTTATTCTAACTATAGTGCTATATTCTATTCGTACTATTGTGCTATGTTCTTTTCTAATTATCATACTACGTTTCATTCTAACTATTATGCTATGTCCTGCTCTAACTATCATACTATAATCTTTTTTATATAAACCTGTAGATAAGATCTCAGAAATTTAATAAACTATATGTTATCTTAAAACCAATAAAGTATTGAATTAAAAGTTTAGCATATACTATATACTTACCTGTCTTGACACAACAGGCTTTTACAGCGATTTTGCACTGAATTGAGACAGAAATGTAGCTTCATATTTTATATTAGCTAAAAAAAAAAGCTGGTTTTTGACATCCTATTTACTTTTAGCAAAACAGGTTTGTTAGAGGAATTAAATGGGATTAACGAAACTAGACGTTCTATACTATTTATTTGAAAACTTGCATTATCTAATAATTATTAAAAGAATTTTTTTGTAAGATGCTAAAGTGCAGCCAGTACGACGTACGTAATAGCCAATCAAATATGAGGATCGATACATAGATTATTCTAGAGCTCAATTTTCTAATTAGGAATATCGGCAAACTGTACTAAATAAATACAAAATAATTTCTAGAAATAGATTTGTTTGTTTGTTTTTTTGAAAGTATTAACTATTATAATAAAAAATCTTTTCACTATTTTTGCACTATTTTTGCACTATTTTTATAGCCATTAAATTTCATAATATTACCTTCTCTTTTAAAATACTTGTCTAAAATTGTAATTTATTCACAGCTTTAGTTTTAAATAAAATAGAACCATCATATGATATACAAACATTAAATAATTTCTCTGAGTCATCACTTGATATGCAAGTATTAAATAATTTCTCTGAGCCATCACTTGATATTCAATTGTTCTCTAAGCTGTCATTTGATATACAAACATTTTCTAAGCCATTACTTGATATGCAAACATTTTCTGAACCATCCTAACTATAATGCTATGTCCCATTCTAACTATAGTGCTACATCTTATTTTAACTATCATGCTATATCCCATT